AAATGTCTCATCTGCTGGGCCACAGTGTCCAGTGAGGATATGTGTTTCTTGTGTTTATCTAATTAATCCTCAACAGTGTTGTTGCTGCTTTGGCTGAAGGCATCAGAGGAAGTCCAAGGGAATATTCCATCAGTGCCTAGTGTAAGCACGAGCTGCTAAACCAACCAGCTAGCATAGGGAGAATGGAGATATGCCAGTGTGTTTCTGGGTATTTAATACAGACAGTTCTTCCTCCTCTCTCCGCAGTCACTGCAGTATCTCATGTTGCAGCAGCAGCGAGTCTATTCGGGCACAAATAAGCCTGGCCTCTCCGTTGCCTTGAGTGGGAGGTTTGCTCCTTAAGTTCAGCTAAGTTCAACTGGAAATGAGACATCTGCCTTTCCCAGTCTGCTCCTGAAGTGATGAGGAGAGAGCAGTAGCACAGGCCTGTGTGACAGATTGCTGCTGCCGTAGCAGGGCTGAGCGAAGGCTGCTCTGCCTGGGCTTTGGCGAGTCAATGCTTCGGCAGACAGTGGGTCCTAGTGTGCCGGCCACTGCCAGCCCTGCTGCGGCATCCGAACGGGAGCAGGCAGGGCCAGGCCTGCTGCCAGGGGGTTTGCTCCTGAGCACATGGGCCAGAGGTAAGTGGTGAAGCGCTGTGGAGACTGGTCTTGGAGCAGCACGTCCTGCTGCTGTAGCGCAGCTGCAGAGGCTCTGGGACTTCTCCCAGCAAAGGTTTGCCCACTTGCCATGTTGCCCAGAGTGACATGCAAGGCTCTGTTTCCACCTCCGCAGTGATGGGCCAGTCTGCCTCTGTCCCGTAGCTGTGGTGCATGGCTCTGCAGTAGCTCTGCAGAGGTCTGCAGCAGCACGCTGGTGTTCTACAAGGGATGTCCTGAGGTTTTTCTGAAGTTCATTAACAATTTTGTAATGTGGGTGTCATTCTAGTAACTTTGGGTCAGAGCAGGTGCCTGACTTGCTCTCCTTCTAGTTGATTGTTTCAGGTTCCTGGGAGTACCATGAAAACAACAGGTCCTTAAACTGTGGAAGAGAGGTACATTTAGGTAGCTTTACAATAATTGGCTCGGCTGTCATTAAAAAAAACCTGAGTTTGAGTACCCTTTTGTAATGATACTGGAGCCATGGTGAAATGAGTGTCCAGCTGCAGAGGAGGAATGGCAGAAGGTGGACTTGGTGTCCATTGCCTGTGGATTCATCTCTGTAAACAGGGGAGGTGGGTGTTGCTTTTGTTCCTAGGAATCCTGAAACCTTCCTCAGCACTTCTGGATGCATCTGTCGTGTGTTACGGAGCAGCCCCCTGGGGGTGACGTGGTGCTCTGATGCTCTAATTGATGTAGCAGTATCTTTTGTGGAGGGTACGGCTCTGAGAGGTAGCACTCAGATGGATCTCTTGGCGTGACTATTAACGGTGCCTCTGCTTACAACTGCTGTTTGATCTGCTTTGCTTAGGCACTAGCTGATGATGGATTTTGTAGCTGTTAAATTAAAGATAATTGCAGGCTTAGGAAGGCTGTGTGATGACTACCAGAGGGGGGTGGAATACGTGCAAGCAAAATGTGCAACAGAGATAAGCATTATAGTGGTGGGATCTATGAGAACTGCGAACCAAAACAGAACCTTCCTTCTCCTTGCTGGCCCAGATTCTCAAGGGGATAAATTCCATCTCTTGGGTTCTGCATCTAGTCAGAGGCCTTTCCGAGGGAGTACAAAGGATTTGGCTGGAGATGGCTTGGAGGTGCTAAACAGCTTCGTACTGATGTAGACAGCAAGGAGCTGGCTGGCCCTGCAGCAGCACTGGAGGCAGAAGCTGTGCTGTGGGGTGAATGAGTGAGCCGAGTGGATTCCACTAATGCCTGAGTGCTGTTGCTGGACTCTGAGAGCCTCCCTGTAGCTCTTGAATGAAAACATGCCTTTAGTGACACGGTTAAAAAAGGAAGGCCTGACAGCAGTTGTTTCCATGCCAACAGAAAGAATTTTCTGCAATATTTCAGCTCATCAGCCTGCAGAACAGTCTGATTGATAGTTACATACACGTGGTAGAGAGATAGCAAAGAGGGGAGGCCAATTATATTGCGTTTTCCTTGTCCTTGAATGCCTGTGGCCACAGCAACTGCGGAGGGCACTTTTTCCTTGCTTTTTGCTGATTTTTTTCCAAGTGAGAATTGGAAGTGCCTGTACAACCTGTCAGCTGTGAATACATGACCCTCACTGTCATAGGCTCTTCTGGTTCAAAGCCTGTGCCATGCGTGCAGGCAATATGGACGTTTGGCTCCTTGACTGGTGATTAGCAAATAGTTATTTATAACATAAAGAATATTTGAGGAGGGGGGAGGGAAGTGGGTTTGAGCACATGCTTGCAGCATAAGAGCATAAGCTATCTGCACTTGGGACATTCTTCTTTTCTCAGACTGATGAACGTCTCAAAGACAAGATGCACATGGCTTCAGGAGAAAAACAGGATGATTCAGGCTTCAGGAAACCTGTGGGTTCAGTGCATCTTCCCCAGAGTGCTCCTGAGCTTGCCAGCTCTGGGACATTCACATGATGAAGGGGTGGGTGGCCAGCTCCTGCCCTGGTTGTGCTTTTCTCAGAGCTGAGTAGGATGGGGAGCATGTGACAGAGGAGCTGCCAGAAGAGAGGGACAGGTAAAAGTGCTGCGGGAGAACGTGAGAAGACCAACCCAGGGGTCTGGGTAAAGCATTCCCACATCAAGAGTTTTGCTGAGGTGTGGGGACAATGTGGCTCTCGAGTGGAGTGCAAGGCCCTGCCAGTGCAGAGCGGTGGGCTGCTGCTGGGAGGGAGCGGCGTGTCGCCTGGGGAAACCAAGGCAGGTGCTGGTGCTCGGCGTGGTGACTTACCCATCTCCCGTGTTTGTGCTCCGGGTTTTGTCCATGGTGATTTTCTTTCAAGGCAGCTCACTTCAGTTGACTTCCATTGCACAGTTGCCAGCAGGGTTTGCCTTTTGCCTTGGAGAGTGGATAAAAATTGAGTCAAAGACTAAGACAGTGTGATCTCTGGCAAAATGTTCTTCCCTCTGGCCCCAGACCTTGCTCATTGCAGACCGCAGCTGCTTGTCCACTTTGGGCAGGGCTGCTCAGAAGGATCCTTGTCCAGGAGGCCCTTAGCTCTGCCCAGGACCTGGAGCACTTCTCCAGGGCCGTGAGATGGATCTGTGAGGCAGACTGTGGGCACAAGCTGTACCTTAAACCTGGATGGCAGTGCACCCCAGGCTTGGGATAATTGCAGCTTAGGATGATTATCAGAGTGTGATAATCTTTCTAGGGTGTTTGCTGGCTCTTGGGAAAAGCTGACAGTGAGCTCTTCCAGAGAAGCTTGGGAGCCAGCGTGCACGGCACCGTGTTGCTGTAGCATGTGCTTATTTCCCCAAACAGGACTGGAAGTCATCTTCACAGAGCTTTTGAACATGCTCTTTGAACACACCATAAAGCCTGAGCAGTACAAAGCAAGCTGGCTGTTGCAGTGAGCGCGCTGCAACCCCGAAGGAGAATGCCTGCCCTGCAAGAAGGGCCTTGCTGCTGGTAGGAGCCCCTGAGTGCAGAGGAGCACACCTGAGCCTGATTTGGAATGGTCCCAACTATTGGTGACCCTGCCTGACCCCAGAGGAACAGCAAAACCCTCTCTGCTTTGTGGGGCCAGGAGTTCAGCCTTAATTCCAGCTGATCGCGCTCCTTGAAGGCAGCAATATTGGTTCTTCATGTTGGGCTTGATCCATTGCCAAAGGGACTTTAAAGTAAATGCAACTTCAGTCAGTCCCCACTGGTAGGACTGTAGCATTTTGGGTTAACAGCCCTTGGGAAATGTATTTTGGGGAAAATATTTGAGAATGAACATTGAGTGTTCCCTTATAAATAGATCCCCAGAGACAACAGATGCCAGATTGCCGCTCATGAGGGAGGCTGTTCTCCCTGGCTCCTGTTGTAGTTTCCTGATGATGCTTTTGCTTTGGAATATGAGCAGAAACATTCAAAATAGAAACATTGTGATGTGATAAAATGGAACAAACCTACAAGAATCCGTGATGCTCTGTCATCTCTCCCTGGAACATGTAAATTATGCCTTTTGAAGCAATTTGGGTATATATGCAGCCCTCCTTGCATTAATGCTCGTGTTGCGGGCTATAGTCCCTCTATTTGCAATTCAGTTTGCCCTCACCTGCAGCTCTGTAACTTCCCTGGCGCTGCTGGGGTGGCACTTACCCTTGTACCCGACTGCTCGTACCCTGCAAACACTGGCGCTGCTGGGCGGTACCACCATGGCCGTGGTGTCCAGTTTCTCAGGGGATGTGGCTGCCACTGATCTGTGAGTCACCTTTCACCCCTCATTTCCTAGGTTTTAGTCTGTAACACCCTACTAGGGGAAACAATGGACCTTAAGAGAGATATAGTTAGTAGATAAGTTATCGATGGGCACAGTAGTCATTCCCCAGAACAACCATGCACAATCTGTGCCTGGTCACAGCACACTGCGGTCAGCACCATGTCGGGATCTGGCAGGGAGGCTGAGCAGGACCGAGCGATGATGAGAAAAGACTGGGGGAGCTGCTGCTGCCTGGGCAAGCGCCCAGTAGAGGCTGCTCATCCGCAGAGACCCATTACTTCTCTTCCCAGCTGGCTGCAGGGGAGTTTTTTCCCATCACTTTCCTTTCTCTCTTTTTCTGCCTCTCCTTTTTTCCCTTCCCACAAAGGTAACGTAGTGCTGTCAGTCTGTCTGCCACCAGCTACAGACCCCCACACAAGTCATTGTGGATGTGAGGGTACATCTGGCCTTTGTGCAGCAACAGTATTTTATTTTTCTTTTCCAAAATGAAAGTGCACACAGTGGTTTTAAGCCAGGGAAAAGATGGCTAAAAGAGCCCCCCCGAACAGGCTGTGGACCAGCTGCTCCAGGCTCAAGGACAGGAGCAGGGATGAATTTCTATGTATATGAATTTGACATCTTGTTGTATGTTGTTTCTGTAACCTTCTTGCTCTCTTTATCAGACAAGTTCAGAGTCTCTGTTGGATCCTCAGCAAATCCAAGCTTTTGACCAACTCTGCCGACTCAACCAAGGAGCCTCCAGAGTACGTACCACCTGGTTTCCCTTCAGTTTTAAATTGGCGAAGGGTATTTCGCATCTTGTCAAGCCAGATATTAGCGCTGGCAGCGTGGGCTTTGGGTTTTCTCTTGGGTTTCATTTAGTGCTGGCAATTTACTATGCGTAGAGCTGGCTGTTGCACATCACAAGGCAGCCGTGCTGCCGCTGACAGAGCTGGGGAATTCACTGGCAGTGAAACCATGGAAATGCCTCTGGCTTTGGGGCTCGGCCTGAAAAGTGTCTGTGGTGTGAGGTTTCTCGGATTCTGTTTAGATTTGCAGGTCGCTTCCCCTCCAGACACTGTGTGGCTCCCGAGATGGCACAGAAGGCTCCCTCTTTGGGCCCCATGTTGTCCCAAGCAGAGCACAGTCTCCCTTTGTCCCTGGCATTTTCCTTGCGCCTCCTGCCTGCCTAGCTTGGCTGCAGCTGTTGGCACTTTCAGCACTCTCTGGGATTGTTTTTCAATTATGTGACTTTAAAACAACCTAAAGACACCTGGAAGGTTGTTTAGTTCAGGACTATTGTCCTGCACTGAGCTCTAGGGTCACTACATACCTTATGTACCCTTTTCTTTCCATGTGTTAAGGTTTTTCTAATTGCTGCAGGAAAAAGTCAAACCCCCCGTCAGCACTTTGTCTTTCTGCACCTTGCATGGGTGCTGCTGGGCAGCCTGCCCAGGCTGCTGGACAGTGATCTGTCTGGGTTTGTCTTGCAGCTAGCTCTCCTGACAGAGCTGTCTCGAGGCCACGGCGGGGAGAAGCATGGGCTGCTCAGCATTTCCCACGGTGACTCGACCACCAGCAGTGTCTTCCAGAACGAGAACTTCCAGCTCCGCCTGGCCCCCCCTCCACTGGCTGAAGACTAGCGCTCCCACTTCCAGCCCCAGCTGCAGCCAGGCCACGGCTGGTTGCAGCTCTCGGTGCAGGGAAGCCTTTCCCCCCTCCGCCGCCTTTCCCAGAACCCTCTGTGGTGCATTGAGTCTTGCAGGGCGCTGTAGACGCAGGTGATCTCCCAGCTCTCCTGCCGCCTCTCGCTAAACCGAGGCAGCCGTGGGGCAGCTGGGCTGGAAGCTGCGACCTCTGGGGGCATGACCAAGCGTGCCAAAGCACTTTGCAGAGCTGGGCTGCCTGCACGGCCCCGGCAGCTCACGGCAGCAGCTTTGCCAAATGACTGAGCCAGCTCCGCTCCACCGGAGGAGCACGGCCTGTCCTGTGCTCAGAGCTTGTGTTCTTCTCATGGATTAAAACTCATACCCGAGTTCTAGTTGTAGTGCTAGTAAAAGCAGTCACTTTGCCAAGGCCGGGCCCGCTGGCAGCAGTTGTGGGGTCTGAGGGCACAGGACAGGCAAACCTGGAAAAGGCTGGAGGATGCAGAAAACAAGACGGGTATGAGCAAGCTAACCTGCGCATGGTGTGTTCCTACAAACTTCCATTAAAAAGTTGAACTTTCCCATGTGAGCCATGCACACGGGGAGTGGGTAAGAGTGCTGCTGGTCTGGCAGTGCTGCCGGCTGCTGTTCTACTACAGTTGCCGCTGAACTCTGGTAGAGAAAGATGCATCTTGTCCTTGGGCGTCAAGTGCAAACCTACCCTCTTGCTGTGTACCTATGTTGGGGCAGGTGGTGGTTGGTGGTCTGTGTAAAAAGGAGCTGCAGGCCCTTGGGGGAGAGGATTGGTGTGATGGGCGCTGATGGCCGGAGAGGTTTGTCACTACCATGCTCAACCCGCTGTTCTGCAGTACCAGACTGGGCTGTGGCCCTTCCCAGCTACAACCTAATAGCAGCTGCGTTCCTGTACCATCACCTCTGCCTTGTGAAATGCACTCCAGGTCCTGCCCTAACAATGTGTGTTAGTGGTCTGGTGATCATCATCTCGCCTCTTCCCTCTGTTCACTTTGTCACTAGCGCTTGGGCGTTTTTGGGTCCCATACCCTTAGGGCCCCAGCTGCTCCCAGAAGAGCACAGCACAGGCGGGTGCTGCTCTCCAGGTGCACAGAACTAATGCGCA